AATAGGGCTAGGTCTTCTTCTTTTATTCAATCTATTACCTTGATTTTAAAAAAATCCATCCTGATATGATAAATAGGAAGAGCCCAGATTCCTTCCCCCAATTCCCCTCCTTGTTAAGTTTTCAGCTGCCTAGAATGGTGTGCAAATTCCACAAGGAACTGTTGTCTGAGAATGGTTACCCTTCGCCTTATCACTCCAACCTGCCACCTGGCCACTGCACCATCCAACCCTCTCTCTCGTGTAGAAATCATTACCATCTTCTGGCTAATTTGCCCTGTCCCTTTTTTAAAAGAGACCTCAGACTTAGGTCTTTCTTGCCACAACACCCAAAGGTAGTTTGCTTCCCAGAGTGAACTGGCCTTGTTACGGGGCCATTCTCTTTTCCTTCCAAATCCCTCACATTCTGTTGTACAGTTCTTAACTGACTGATGGGGAACCCAGGGCTGCTTGCCTGCACCTTGCAGACATTTGCTCAGTGCTGAAATGGCCTGCTTCATGTGCTTATAATGTGGACAACACCGAGGACAATGTCCTGCGACACCAACCACAACACCACGATGGTTGAGTGCAGTTTACAATGCTGCATATACGAAGTTCCTAATCCTGAAGAATGCCTTCAAATTTGTGGGCACTCCTTGTGTTATTTTTTTTAAGGGAATATGTACCCTTATTGGCATGTATCAAGCTGGGGCAGTATTACTGCGATTTTTTTCATTAGGATGCAATTAATATAGCATAATTTAGCCATTTTAACATGTGTCTATTACACACATCACAGATTATTTGCAAGTTACAGCCATCATTTCTATCGAGTTCCAGAATATTTTCATCACCCCCAAAATGGACGTTGTTTCTATTAAATTGTCTCTTTTCCTACCGGATTCATCCGTAATAATCACTGATCTGCTTCGGCAGATTTACCTGTATTGACCAGTTCTCAGAAATGAAATCATACAATACGCAGCCTCTTTTGTCTGATTCCCTTCACTAAGCCATTGTTCCCAAGGTTCCTCCATGTTATAGCTTGTGCTGTTCCTACATTGTTCATTTTAACAGCTGAGTAATTTTCTAAGGGCCAGAAAGACCACATGTCCCTTACTCCTTCTTCCGTGCTTAAGTAAGAAGTGGATGGGGGTGAAGCGTGGCTTGTGCTTTGGTCTACACAAGCAGTTTTCTCAACCTGTGGGTCGCGACCCCTTTGGGGTCGAACAGCAGTAGGCAGATTGAGAACCACTGTTCTGTACTAAGCCACTTAATCAGCAGGTGACCGTGGACAAGCTCCTCTCCTGGCCGTGTCTCAGTTTTCTCATTGGCTAAAGAGAAATATCTCACTTTTTACATTGGCGAATGATTGAATAAGCAATGTCTGAAAACGTCATAGCCATTTTATCCCAGGACTCTAGAGTGGGGAAAGAGCACATAAATGTACATTTTAGCTTGTGTTTGTGGTTTGTGCTGTTAGAGTTGCAAAAGCCTCCCTGCTTTGTTTGTCGAATGGAGGCATAGCTGTTTCTTCTGCTTTGAGGTTGGGTATGTTTGTCCCCCACCCTCTCACGTACCCAACATGGGATTTTCCATTTCGGAAGCCGTTCACTAGACAGAATGTCTGTAGTGGAATGTTACATAATTCACATTTAGACTTGAAGAGCTCATTATAAAAAACCTGACACACTTCAGAAATATTAAATTACTGCAGATTGTGTGGAGCAAAGAAACATTATTGAAGCATTTCAAAATTCCAGACGAGCCTGAATTTAACTGATAGGGTTTCACAGCTTTTACTGGGGAAAATGATTTGCGTTGTCACATGGTTTCTGGCCCCGAAGGACTTTAATCTCCTTAATTACAAAGAAATGAATTTCCTAAATAATTTGGAGTTACTTCACAGAATTCACTCAACCTCTGGCTTTTGGAAAATTAAAGGGGATGGCAGGCCCTTGCTGTGTGCGGTCTCTACTACAGCTTCGCTATTTGGGTTTCCATTCAGAATGGCTCTGGTGTTTCCCGTCATTATTGATACAGGGGTGTACTTCAGAGATTCACTCATAGCACTCGAATGTATCACATTTTACCAGACGAGTGACTCTAGATGCCCAGGGGAAATGGAGAGGTGCTAGATTCTGGCCTTTGAAGTGGGAGGAGAGAAAACAGTCTGAGTTCTATCCGTTTTCATACAGTAGCTTTGAAAGTCTTTGAAACTGTATAAACCCATGTCTGTAAGATTCTTCCTGTACTTAGGTGTTGGGGACTGCGGATCACCATATCCTGAATTTCTTGTAAACAACTTGTTTTCCTTGGCTCTGAGCAGCCTGCAGCTGCTCCAAGCAGGAGACCCTGATGGCAGGGGAGTGGGTTCTGATGGGTCTGCAGCTGAAAGATCCCGAGAGCTGGGGCGTGGCCAGAGCCCTATAGAAGCTGCCCCTGAGCACAATAAAGGGGGCCTTCTTGGCATTCTTGTCTCAAGGGTGTCTCCGTGGCCCTGTGGTCTGTCTGTCTGTCTGTCTGTCTGTCTGTCTGTCTCTGTCTGTGTTTGTTTGTGAGTAGAGCACGGAACAGAACCGGTGCAGTTTTACACATAGGGATTAGGCACCTACTGAATACAGGGCCAGCAGCCTGGGAAGATCTGCTATCCTGCTTGCTTCTTCCTATACTTTGTTCATTCTCAGGAAGCAGACTTAAACTGGCCCAGTTTCCCCTGGTCATGTGCTCTCATACCAGACACGAGGTCTTGATCAAACCACAAAAGAAACTATGATGTCATACTCGTGAAGCGCTGGCTAAGAGGATGTTCTTCCTTGGCCATTTTTCAGTCTCAGGACAGGTGGGAGCTCGCTTAGTTCCGCAGTAACTTCATTGATTTGGCAGCTGTCCATCATCCGTGTAAAGAAACTGAGGCAGGGAAAACCTCAGTGACTTTCCTCAGTGTCACACAGCTGGACAGCTGTTGGAACCCTGGTCTTGGCCAATAATGGTGAAAGAGGGAAATTCCATTTTAGTAGAAAACTCAGAGCTTTTCCCAGCCGGACTGTCTTTTTGAAGTGAGCCTCAAGGGGATTGGATGAATGTCAAGGCAGACCCAACAACGGAACTGATGGCAAGCAGAAGCAAAAGGGAGGGGTGGGAAGAGGACCCCCATGAAAGGCCAGGCTTCAACTTCTATTCATTCAGTAGATTATATTTGTTCTACATGCAGTTGGGGCATGGTGGTGGGGGAGTCCTTTTCACTGTGCATGTCCTTTCAACAAAAGCGTGGTTCTTCAGGATCCTGCAGAATGGGACTAGTCTCATGTGTGGCTTTACTGACTTGCCAAGCAAAGTAAACATGGCTCCTTTGTGGCCAGCATGTCTGGCAGTTATATCTACTTTGGTTCTGGTCCTGTGCATGGATAGTTGTCCTCCACAGGACTGCTTCTTCTGCTAGATCTCACTTCTTTGTGGACTAGTGAGAGGCTTTGATGATTTCTTCCTGGCTTCCAGAGTTGCACGGTGTTTGTTTATACCTGCTCTATACGAGAGTCTAGTAATTATTTTATTGCAATAAAATGATGGGTATTGAGAGCATGCCAATATGTGGCCAATAATTGTGATTCTTCTGTCTCCAGTGGGCTGTGTCTTTGGAAAGAAGGAGAGTTGGCATGCAGCTAACGTCACAAAGATGGTGGAGACATTCTCATGTTTTAATGTGTGGTTTTAGAAAGTGTATTCTACAAAGGCAATTATCTCTTTTCTTTACTTGTCACCTTAGATTCTCTAATTCAAGTGTTACATACAGAGATAGTGTTCTTTGAAAAAATAATTGCGTTATTCTGAAAAAAAAATATGACCAGGTATCTTCGGATAAAAGTGGACATTGCCTCACAATTAAGCTTTAATGTAATTTTATATGGCTTTCATATTAGGCCTTATAGTTAAGCCATCTTTAATTGTCATGATTAGCAGGGTTAGGTCATTAGTCTTTTTGAGCTGCAACTGGATTTTGAGGTCAACCCTCTTAGATGAAACAGTTCCAGTTCTGCAGAACGAGCTAAAAATTGGCTGCACTATTTCAAGAGTCATTTCTAGCAGCCCTTTTTTTCTTAGTATTATCAAAAACGGATAACTAGTGAATTGTTTATTTTCAGTGGATTCTCAGCTACAACTATCAGATCGCGGCTGGTCAAAGACTATTGACAGAGTCTATACATTTATTCAGTTGAAATGAGATCCAAGGCGACAGTGCACATGCCGCATTGGGGCCAGAGTATTGAGTGTATCTGTAAGTGCACAGTAAATGCTAACTGTAATTGAAGTGTCCGTGTTGCCCTAACCAGTTTCCTCTCCTCCTAGCAGCATCTCTTCTTCCTGGTACTCAGGACTGTGCGATACATGCTTCCGAGAGACGGAATGAACAAAAAGTGTGTCTCCCGCCGCCATGTCTTTTCCTCTGCTTCCCCACATTAAATGCTTGTCTGCTCTTATAGCTGGGGGAAAAGCTGACATAAAAATTGGCTTGCTGCAAAGTTTCGCAGCCCCATTTGTCACCTTACCCTTGGAGCCCAATTGCATGTCAGCTCTACGTCCCCCTGATGCCTGCCAGTGAGGGACAGGCTGCAGGTCACTCCCCTATGATCTGCCTTAGCTGCCCAGTCTCTGATCAAGCTTGGCTGATGGATGGGTGGCCCCTTCTTGAAAATGCCTCCACGGGGCTGGTCAGGATATATGCCTGTGATATTTTCTGGGTGGCATCTAGCCCTTGGCCATCAGGAACATGGGCGAAAGAGCTGGCGTCTGCTGCTTTTGAAAATTTCAATTCCTTAGCTGGCTAAACTGTTTTGCCAAGTACTTTTTTTAGTCTCATTTGTGGTATAAACCCCATCCGTGGCTTCGTGAACTCAGATGAACAGATTTGTCCCCAAAGATGGAGACGTTCTTGCTGTTCCGTGCTTGCTGGTTCATTTCCCCCAACTTTCCTACAGCCCCAGAAGGATCATGATCCTGAATACTCTTGCTTTGATTTGCAGCACTCCGAAAGAGTGAATGACATGCACGGCGCGGGGTGTCCTTTCTGAAGGGAGGAGCCTTTCTCTTGGAGAGGATCCTCGATGAGCCTGGCCAAGGATTAAGAGGACTAAGGATTAAGTAGGATGTCAACTGAGACAGAACTTCAAGCAGCTGTGAAAACCAGCGCCAAGAAAGACTCCAGGAAGAAAGGTAAGGCTGACTTGGCACCCTTCGCGAGGCCGCTTTTCTGGGTCGTGATAAGGTTAAGGCCAGAACGCTAGGAAAACGTAACTCTGCAGCAGGTGTCACTTCTGTGGTGACTTTGTGCTCATAGTTTGATGGCTGTCATTCTCCAGGTAAAATCCCAAGTTGTTTTCCTAATACACCAGGCCTGGGTGTGATAGCCTTCTAGCTATTCCTTCTTCAAAAGCAACCAACCGCCTTTGTCCCCAGTGGCCAACTCTGTTCCCACTCCAGACTCTCTGCCTGATGTGGGTCTCTTTTGCATATTGCTGTGGTTCTCAAACTCTGACCACACTGGGCTCCAGAGGAGCTGCTTCGGGAGGACTGTGGAGTCGGTTCCTAGGAAGTGCCCTGCACCCACAGGTTACACTGCGAACCAGTTCCCAGGGACACTTGTCTGGAGCCCACAGAAAACTGCGCAGCCATCAACAGAAAGCCCGTTCTTGCTCATTGCCTTTCTTCCACGCATGCGTACCCATTGTCCAGGCTGGGTTTCCTGCGACCTCCTGGGAGAGGCCTTCCTCATTCCCTGTTGAAGCTGGTGGCTTTCTTGCTTTGCTTCAGTTGTGCTTCGGAGGCTTCTCACATTGCCTAAAATGCTTACTTTTTTGTGAGCCATCTTGAGTAGCGACTCATGTTCACAATGAGACTCTCAGCACATGGAAAGTACTTGAGAGAAGGAACACGGGTAACTGGTGATGAAAATTGACGTGTCCAGAGTTCTTTACAAAGATAAGTCTATTGCCGTACATGTTTTGTGGGAGAATTGTTTTCATGGTTTTACGGATATGCGGCGTTTTGTTAAGTAAGTGTGTGTCCTTTGATGGTTGGAAGTGTGCTTATGTTCTGTGTGTGTGTGTGTGTGCATGTGTGGTCTATGTGTGTGTGGTGTTTGTGGGTGTAGGTGTGGTCTATGTGAGCCTTGTGTGTATGCATGTTTGTGTTGTATGTGTTATCTGTGTGTATGTGTGTACTGTACATGGGTCTGTATATGTGCAAACTCTATGGTTTCAGTTCCTCTCCCCAGTCTTGTCAGCTGTATGCAATGAGATGAAAAGAGCTCTTTCAGGACCTGAAGTCTGTGCGAGTTTGCAAATCAGGATGCCCTTGGCTCTGCTGTGCAGGCCGTGATTTGTTGGAGACATCACTGTGCCTGCCTAATCATGTTTTGCGATGGCGTTTGTGGTACCTGTGAAGCATGGGGCATAAATGGAATCCACATGCAGCTCCTGGGCTGTCAGAACTCCAGGATAAACTGTAAATTTTGCGTTTGATGTTTATTTGAAACACAAATATTTTGGAGACAGTCTTATTTTATGGCCCCAAACTTCATGTAAACCTTGTTTTTCATGCCTCCCAGTCTAAGAATCAGAGACAAAAAAGCAAATGGGCAAGGGAACATGTCTTGAGAGACTGCTTTGTGGGGAGGGGGTTGGGAAGTGTGTCCTAGAATTCAAATGCTTTTGCAAGAGAAACTCACAAATCATGTTTCTGCTTCGAAAGTAACTGTTCCACTAATCTTGCGCTTTTGGGGGTTTAATGCCTTAAAATTTTAGATAGTTTTTTTCTTTTAATTTTAATGTACAAAACTTAGGAGCATTCTGAAGAGAGAATTTTTAGGTTTTACAGGACATCGATTTAGGGATTTGGACCTGGATGGGAATGTGAAGGTGACCTTGCTACAGCCTCCTCATCTTCATCTCCTAAGAATCTACATCATTAACATAAATTTGGTGGAGCAGTGTCGTCCATTGCTGAGTCCTTAGAGTCTGGACAGGCAGGCCTCAGTTCTGACTGTTCCACTCCCTCCCTACCTGACCATAGACAGTTCAGCTCACCCCCTGAGGCTCATTTTCCTGTCCTAAAAAGTAAAGTGTGATAGTGTGCTCAGTGGCTGACTGTATAGGTTATATAAGGAAGGCATGTTAAGTCCATAAGCTCGGCGTGTAATAAACGTTCAACAGAGGCTGACAGTTTTCTCTTCATCATTTTTCCCTTTGCTTATCATTCTCCTCACATTTTCTTTCTTCTCTGTTATCTTTCCTTCCATCCCTCAATTTTATCTTTTATTTCCTCGCCATTTATCTTGAGTTAATCAGATTGAGCTGCCCTTATAAATACCGTAGATTGAATGGCTTAATGCACAAATGTGTTTCTTACTGCTGTATGTGCTAGAATATACATCTAAGAATGAGATCCCGACAATCCCTGTCTTCATGCAGGCTTTCTTCCTGGTTGTAGATGGCCACCTTCTCACTGTGTCACAAGGATTAGAGAACATCATTTACTGTCCTTCCTCCCCTCCCCTCCCCTCCCCTCCCCTCCCCTCCCTTCCTTTTCCATTCTTCCCTTTCCTTGCCTTCCCTGTCTTTTTCATTTTCCGGCTCTCCCTCCCTTACCCCTTCACCCCCTGCCTTCTCCCCTCCCCGTACTCCTCCTTCTACTATTATTCCCACTCTCACTTCAGTTAGCACCTTTATCTGTCTATCCATCCACCCATCCATCCACAATGCCATCACACTGGGGTTTTAAGCTTTATCATATGAATTTTGATGGCGCATGACTATTGATTTGGTTAATAACATACTCCATCTTCTTCCTCCCCTCTTCTTTTTCTGCATCATCATAATTATCATCACCACAGGTTTGTCTTCTTATCACATCTTATAGCAAGGGAGCTTTTAACAGATGGGTTACTACTTTATCCCAGAGAATGATTTTTTAATTATTTTTATTTGTGCAGTAGTGATAAGCAATCTTTATTCCAGGTAAATCGGTAATAGACAAAAGTACCATAAGGGCATATAAATGAATTAAAAATAGAAAATAATGTGTAGTAACAATATTCATTCATTACTTTCAAGAATTTGATAATAGAATAAGTATTCTGTTAAATAGATGCTGCTACCTTAGTCAAAATAAAATACTTATATGTGATAGTTTATACATTAATCTTGAATCTTGAACACACTAATGTTATATTCTTTAACTGATTTTGGATTTTTATAGAGATAACATATAATATAAAATTAAAGTCTCAAGTGCTTATTTTTCCTGTCATATTGCTTTGGCTGAGTCTGTCAGTATAATATTTAATAATAGTAACTACCCTATCTTTGTTCTGGATTAATGAAAAATTATATTTAAGTATAATGTTTAACTTTTCCTAAAGGTTCATTATTAGTAATTTTTATGTATTTTTAAAGGAAGTTGAATCTTAACATGTTTCTGTACTTGCTTCAGTGATTGTGTGTGATTTCCTTTTATTGCTGTAAAAATTGCCAGTAGATTTTCTAATCTTCAATTCCTGAACCAAACTTTACTTGATCACAATGTAGTATTTTATCTGCCCTGTGGGGTATGATTTCTTAAGAGTTTATTTTTTCTTAATATAACTCAATTTTTGGACTACTTTGTAGCTTATATTACTAAGTTATATCCTTATATATGGATACTAACAGAAAGGAAACAATGAATAATATATAGTCTACTTTAAAAATATTTTTAGTTACTTAATTTAATAGTTATATGTACATGTTATAAAAATGAAACGAGAGAAAGAAATCATGCATCACATGAACCCAAAAATTAATACGATTGGCATTCTAAAGGATTTCATTTTGTACTGAAGCACTTTGATAATACCTGACTGAGATGACGCGATCTGTATAATTTCATACCTTGATTGGTTATCTGCCATTACTTTCCAAAATTATTACATGATTTACAAAATAAGAGGGTTTTTTGTTTGTTTGTTTTTGGTTTTATTTTGCTTTGTTTTCAATACAAGGCAAGATTTAGATGGGTCCTAGGAAAGACATTTTATTTCTTGGAAATGAATACCTTGCATCATGAAAGCTAAGAGGCCCAGATGAGTTTATTAGAAACCTATTGGCCTATTCATTTAACTTAGACTATGAAAGCAACCCAGGCAGTTTCAAACACAAACACAGGGCATATTTCTTCAACGAATGAGTTTCTAGACAGGCTGTGTATGAGACATAGCAAGAGTAGTCAGCATTCAAACGAGATGTAGGAACAGTGAGAAGTAAAGCTGTTCTTTTCATTTCATTGTTGTTAGAGTGTGACACCCTGAATAGCACCTGGGAGGTAGAGGGAGATCTCCGTGAGTTCAAGGCCAGCCTGGTTTACAAAGGGAATTCCAGGACAGCCAAGACTGTTTCACAGAGAAACCCCGTCTCAACCCAAAGGGGGAAAAAAAAAAGATTATGTCTCAACACCTACAACTTGTCAAATGGCCCCCTACCCAGGAGTGGAGTGTCATGGAGGGGCAGGAGAAGGACATTTGTGTTTGTAGGTAGAGCAGGCTTTTTCTGTTGAGCTACCAGCACACTCCCAGGTCATGGACTTCTTGTTAGTTATGAATGTTTGACCTAGCTTACACTCTTTTCTGCGTAGCTTTTTTAATTTATAGACATAAATTAACCCGTTTCTCTTTATCAATCTTTTGCATTGGGGCTTTTGACACCCCCCCCCCCAGCATCTCCCTCATTCTCTTTCCCTCCTTCTTCCCTCATTCATTTCTCAAGCCTAGATTTCTTCTCTTATTCTCTCTGCCTGCCATCCCCACCTGTTCCTCTCCTGCCTAGCTATTGGTCATTCAGCTTTTCATTAGGCCAATCAGGTGCCTTAGGTAAGGAGAAAAAGATGCAACAGATCTTTACTTAATTAAATACACATCCTTACAGCCTTAAACAAATACAGCATAAACAAATACAACATGCCTTTACATAGTTAAAGTAATAGTCTGCTGCAGAAACAATTGGAACATATCTTCACATAGTTAAATATTCCACAACATTCAGGTTCCTTACCTACCATCAAGAGGAGAGTCAATGGACTCAGTTTCTGCTACTTGCATCCACAGTATCGGGGTGCCCAGTGAAGTCTATTGTGGAATGAGGGGTTCTGTGACTAGCAGACAGGTGTTTCTGGGGTCAGCACCA